GGAACTACTAAAATAGCCTGTGTTGTAATAAGTAATATGCTCAATATTTTGTTCCAGTTATTGCTACGCTGACTGGCTGAGTAATGGCTCAGTGGTTACAATAAGAAGAATCAAGTTTGTCTTTCGCTGTGGAATTTGCCTGTTTAATTCAGTATCTTTCTAAGTGCTTTTGTTTAGCTCCACATAATGAACATTAATCATACCATTCCTCCATCCTCCTCGTCCAATTGAAATGAGGTGGCCTGGAGACTCTAAAAAGTACAAAGAAGTATACACATATAGTACAGGAGTGTGTACTGTATAGCTTAGGATGAATGGATGCTTCTGTCTGTGTCAGCCTCCTGATGGACTATTACTCTGTCAGAGTGGTTCCCTGAGACTGTCCTCCATTTGTGCCAGGAGGTTATTATGAACAACAGTTACATATTACAGTTTGGCATCCTCTAGCGAGGGTAATAATTGAGACATGAGCAAAGGAAGAAGTTAGGAGACGTAGTATATCGACCCACTAAGTCCATGTGAGGGTTAGGGTGGGGGTGGTGGCTTTTAATAAGCCTATAAAAGAAAGCTATGCTGTTTGTGTGGCAAAAACATAATGAAACTGTGATGTTAAATTATCATACAGGCATGTTTATGACTCTTTCTATGACAATGAAAGTTTGTAAAGCTTGCTGGTGCGACATACAGTGTGTCTTAATTAATGCTAGCAGAGTTCTGCCATTCAACATCGGAGCACTGTTTCAGGAGATGCTACTATGGGTCATATGACAGAGAAGGGACGAACGACCATATGTACCTACTCTAGGTTAGAGGACTTGTTGGGTTTCCTGCCTTTTGCCAGATTCACACTGGGATAAACCCTGAATCAGAATAAGCAGAGAATGGATGAACAGACTTCAGTTAGGTGTATGTGATAGAATAAAGAGTTAGCTGATAAGCATGGAAATTGTTACACTGAGATGTTTTAACATTTGGATGCCAGATTTCATTTATATAGCCCAAAATCACAAAGAGCCTTACAATCTTTACGGCATATGACGTCTGCTGTCATTAAATCCTCTGTAGAAGAAACCGGCTGTGGAGCAGTGCTGAAAAGTGATTTGAGCCATGAAGGACAGCAAGCATGGATTTCATCATACGCAACCCACCCATTAGAAAAGCTCCATTTTCCATGCCATGTCACATGGCGGAAAAAGAGATAAGTGCTGGGAGTTGAAGTGCAGTGCTCATGCTGGCAATAGTCCCTCTTGCTTTTTTCTCTGACTTTCTCGCTCTATTTCTCTCTCGAGAAAAGACACTCACACAGCGTAGTTAATTAGGGGATGCTTTTATTGCTTTCTGGGACTCAGGTTCCTTTAATTAAGGAACGCTGAAGTGCCTTTCATTGGAAGACGCACGCTTGATGAATGAGATAAGGGCTGGGTTCTTGCATTGGTTTTCACAGTAACTGGCTGAATGGCATTCCATTAGGTGGTTTGAGCATTGATAAAATTCTGAAATGACTGGAGAGCAACATAAGTATTTATGCTATGAAAGAAATGCCATAGTATTTATTTTTATTACTGTTAATCAAAGCTTCAGTTTAGAAAACAAAAATCCCAGTCCCGCAGTGTCTTTAAAAAGGTGTTTATGTATCGCTGCAGTGCCAGCTTGAAACACAAACCTGCCACATCTCTGACACTTCCATTGAAGATGATCTCCTAACTTTACCTTGGTTTTGCACTTGTATGTGCGAGGTAAAGGTGCTGAAATGTGACACGGTATCTGACAAATACTGTGGTGTCAGCAGAATTTCCCAAAAGAGCTGGAACTGTAAGTCCATCATGCAGGTGTTTGGCATAAACATACAGCATCTGGCACCACTATCTATTCTCGATGCTGTGCCGTCTGAGGGATCGGAGAGCTCGGTCATCCAGCTGAGGCTCGGCCCTCGGCCTTCACACACTGAAATCCCTCCAGATTCCTTGAATCTTCTAATGATGTTCTGCACCGTAGAGGGTGACAGATCCAAATCCCTTCCTGTCTTTCTCTGAAGAACATTGTTTTTAAACATTTCAATAATTTTCTCACACACATGTTGTCAAACTGGCGGTCCTCGGCCCATCTTTGCTCCTAAAGGACTCGGCCTTTCCTGGATGCCACTGTTGTACCAAATCATGAGGCAGTCACCTGTTGACATCACCTGTTTCAAATGGAATCACCATTTCATTATTTTACCTCATTACTGGCCTTGAAATGCAGCCGTCCCAACTTGTTTTGGAATGTGTTGCAGCATCAGAATGGAAGTGTTTATTTTGAGCAAAGAATAAAATTCATGAGGTATCATGTCAAATAATGTGCTGCTGTGACTGTAATCATGATTTCAGTGTATGCACTGAAATGGCAAGGGCACAAGCCTAAGCTGGATGACCAAGCTCTCTGACCCTTCACCCACAAGGCCTGATGCAGATGCCAATTCAACATGTCAAATCAGCCCAAAAGCGTCAGGGCTCATCCTCCTGGTGTGTCCCACACCATTGGCACTGGTTGTCGGTGGCTTTTTGGCCGATTTGACATGTGGAATTGACAGTAGCTGTACGGCTTCGTGGATGAGAGAGAGACCACTCTGACTGGCTTTTGAGCTTAGTGAATCAGTGCACAAAAAGAGAACGGTTTGGGAAAGCCCCTTCAGCCTGTCGATGTAGTATCCATGATTTCACCCATTTACTGCAGTTTCTTTTTTTTTGCCTCCACGCCCTCCTTTCTTCTTCCACGGCCAAAAGGGCAGAGAATGTCAGTGTCATATGCAACTTCTCATGAGGCATATTCTTGATTCAAAGCAGCTATAAACAGCAGCTGTTCTGAACAAGAAGTGCTTTGTTTATAGCTTATACCTCCACATTCTAGCTCTTCTTCTTCCATTTCTGAATGGTGATTACAGATACTGCCACTTGCTGGTAGGGGGAGTATTTTCTGCCACACAGGCACAAAATGTATTTGCTAGTTGGCCATTCAAGTTTCACTTTATCAACCCGACTGGCCCAGACAAAGCTGACGTAAGGCGACACATAGATCGGCCTTCATTGCTGCCAGCTGTTTCACATCAGCCTGGTGTGGCTCTGCCCTAAAGGAAATACTGCTGGATTTGGGTGGCTCACTGTAAATGAGGCTCATCCAGTGTCACCTCCATTACCTCACCTCTCTGAGGCAGAGCCAAAGCTGCAGATCCTAGTTATTTTAGAACATCACTCACTGTTTTTCCTTGGAGGAGAGTGCTTATTGATTTTGTCAACAGAGCATTGATTTTTCTCCCCCCCCTCCCCTCAGACCTTGGTGAAGGAACCAAGGTTGGATGCTGGTGAGCAAAACCCCAGACTATAATATATTTTTATGTTTTTGATGGGTCTTTCTGGAGTTTTTTTAGTCTTCAAGGGACTGAAGTTCGACCTGGTCTATTTTGACTATTGGTCCGCTGGATTTATGGTCTGTATAGGACCATTTCTTAAGATGAACCATGACAGAAACTATATGTGTTCTGTGGGATTTCTTTCTTTCTCAAGGAGATTTATACTTTATTATTCTTTTCCATGTTCTTCAGGAAACACAGTCCAAAATGCCTCAGTCAGTCACCTTTCAGACTAGTCAGTGTGTACTGACAGACCCAAAGACATTAATTGGCTCCTTTGTCTGTTATCCTCCCATTAAAATGAGGGGTGGGCTGCCAAGTGTTTCATGTTTGCAGAGTAGAATGAAGGACTAATGATTACGAGTGCTGAAGGGAAAAGTCTGTTGCAAAGTCTTTCATTATTTTCAGTCCATCTGGACGTTATGCTGTCTCTCCGGTGCTTATAAAAACCTGTCTCCTTCCATCCTTGAGTTGTGTATGTATGGTGTACACTGGATACCTGTATGGCCCAGAAAGCAGTAGCTGACTGCTGATTATAGTGGAGATAGGTGTCAGTGTGTTTGCAGTTGGCTGGTGGAGCTGTCACCGTGTTGTCGGGCAGAGTGTCTGACGGTGTGTAGGTGGCAGAGTTGACTGCCGGTTGTCCAAACTCTCCAGTCAGGTCCACACACCAGGCCAACAACATATTGTCAAGGACAAAACAACAACTCACTCACATCAAATTGCCTCTTATAATTCATTTTATAAACAATTTTATTCCAAAAAAATGGAACTGCATTTCTTGAAGTAATGTTAGTTATAAAATAAATTTTAACTGGTTAACTCATCCATCCATGTCTGCTGCTTGATAAGTGGTATAAATATTGAATGGGTGGATTATTAGGCAATATTGTTATATGCAGCTTAGAAGAACTGACAGAAATGTGATGTAAATGTTAATAAATACATCAGTTCTGACTTTGTTTGATAACCTCTGATTAGGCTGAGCAGCTCTACCTTTCAGAAGAGTACCAGTCTAAAAGTGCAGCCTATCTGTGAAAAATTCTCAGACTTAAATGTCAACACAAAAGACTAATTTCATACTATTTCCACAGGTAATGTCTGAACCGGGAGTATGTGAACAATGAACAGTGATCTGTTAGGTTTTACTGCATCATTGGCTTGTCATGGTGGTACCTCTGTTAAAGCTTCTCAAGCACACCCTGCAAAATTACCACTGCTCTCAGTGCCACACGTTTTATGTTGCCCGTGATTGCCGTGAAAGTGTCAGCTGTCTGAGAATCTTTTGTTTAAATGGCACGTGGAAAATGCCAACATCGGTTACTTCCACAAAATTGGCTGAAGCCATACAGTTGGGTCTTGTCCTGCTAGACGGGATCAATTGTTAGGAGTCTGCCACTTCTTGATGAACCCAGTGTTGGCTTAGGTGCTGATCTGGTGTTCCAGCTCTGCAGACACACACATCCTCTTTTATCGCACCTGTCAGTTGGTATAATCACAACATTTTGCAGTTTTGGTTCAAATGTTGCATCTGTCCAGTTTTCTTCTCTGTAAGGCACAGTTTTATTTTCTTCCAGAAGACTAATTTAACTTTTCCTGATTGCTCTGTCCCCAGTGCCATCATGGGCCATTGTCTCTATTGCCTTCGTGGCGATCATCCTGGTCTTAGCATGCTGCTTCTGCATCTGCAAAAAATGCATATTCAAGAAGAAAAACAAAAAGAAGGGCAAAGACAAGGGCAAAAATGCCATCAACATGAAGGATGTCAAGGATGGAGCCAAAATCGAGGTAAAGACTTTAAACTATTGTTGCTTAAAATTCAGAAAAATGATGCTCAATACAGGCAACACACTCCCAAAATGTTTATCTTTTGCTGCACCCTCTGTGCATGACAGTGTGCTAGAAATGGACTATGATGTGTCCCAAAACATGCCTTATAATGTTTAATGTTTCTTATGTTTTTTGCAGTCTTCAACATACTTCTATTTATATTTTTACTGCAGTTATGGTTGTCAGACACTTTATATGCAGTGGCAGATACTGTACTGTATGTTTTGAATATATTATGTACTTGCTGTTGCCAAAGAGATGCATACAGTATCACTTAAAATGAATCTAATATTTAAAATTAATACAGTGTAATTAATTGCAGGAGAGTTAATGAAAGTCATGTGAAATGGCTTCAGGTTGAAGAGTTTCTCTTTTCTCCTACTTTTTGTTCCTGTGAGTGTTTCTTTTTGTCCTATGAGGACCTGCTCACTTGTTGAAGCGTGTGAGTAGCGTTTGCCGTGTAATGAAGTGGTATCCACCCAGAGAAATGACATCACCAAATGATCAACAAATGGGAGCAATTTGACGCTACTGTACCTTGCAGAAGTACAGAATGAAAAGCTATGAAATGCTGACATTTTACACGGAGCTGGCAAACTCCAGCAGAACATCATTACACTGTGATCCTTGGAATCAAGTGTGTTTAATTTGCAGCAACACTTCTGCTATCAGAGGTGAATTGGATCCATAGACAGAAACTACTGACATTTTTTTGTACTTCACTTGACTTACTTATTGTAGGAGAAAGCTTAAATTAAGACTTACAAGTTAAAAACTCATTCATTTTCTTATATACTGTAATAAGGGGGGAGCTGTAACAACCAGCAGGTCTGATTAAATAACTGCAGATGAGTTTTTTCATTAATTTCCAATATTTTCACTTCCTTTGTGCAGTCCAGTTTTATTTTTAAATATGCGCTAATCAAAATATGATCTCGGTTATCGGTCACTTTGATAAGCTTAGCTCTGAGATCAGTGTATCTGCCATGTCCAAGGCAAGCAGTCATTTCTCCTGGTGTGCCCAGACTCTGGTGTTTTAACTCCTGTGTGTGGTTGTTTTAATTTGTGTCTCTTCCTTCTATGTCCTCCTTATCTGTGTTGTGTCTGATGACTGTTCGGGATGGTCACTGGCGGTAGGTTCCTAATTGCTGTTGGATCTTCTTAAGCCTGCTGCTCTAATGTTTTTTATAGCCTCCTGAATACAACTTGCTCCCATAGAACCAAATATATGTAACTATGCATACAGTACATGTATATCTACTGTACAGTATATATGTGTGTACAACCTGCGTATGCACATATATATATGAGAAAAACACTTGGGTGCGCATTGACAAGGTTGAACCACGCTGATTCCTGTGCCTAAGTCTCCTAGTAATTGAATCTTGAAGTGCAAACAAGTGGCAGTGCATAAACAGACAGTGACTGAAATGCTGTACAAGTAAATGTTCCTCTGAAAACAGGCAAAGTAAAGGAAACTGTTCAGACACAAAGCATTTGCATTCAGATGCAGTGGTGGAAGACATACTCAAATTCTTTACTTAAGTAGAAATCCTACAGTATAAAAACACTCGGTTACAAGTAAAAGTACTACAATCAAAATGCCGCTTAATTAAAAGGACAAAAAATACTTAAGGTACCAAAAGTAAAAGTAATTTTATGCAGATTGGCACATTTTACATTTTATTATTTCATATGTACAGTATATCATATTATTGGGTTCTAATTATTTACGTATTATCATGTCCATCACTAATGTTGCAGCTGGTGAAGGTGGAGCTCATTTGAACTACTTTTCCTGCTTATGAATGAAATTACTGCTAGGTAGCTTGTGAATTTCTTACCAGGAATCAAAAAAGTCTTATGATTATACTGGGTTTTGTTTATTGATCTGATTCTGAAAGTAATTACTAAATTAAGGCAGTAGTGCAGTACAAAGTACAATATTTTCCTCTAAGATGCAGTGAAGTAGCAGAAAATGAAAATACTCAAGTAAGTAAATGTATTTAGATTATTTTCGATGGACGGCAAATTTTTAAAAGCCAGTTTTCATGCTTTCAAGGGAGACAAAGAAGGCAACAGAATCTCCATGAGTCATTTTTGGAACCTAAAATGTCAAATATCTCTTATAAGGCCACAGGTGGCGACTATCAGTCGGACGATGGTAACTTGTCCTGCATCCATCTTGGGCGAGTTATCACCAGTTAAAATGTGTCCTGCTCTTTCTTAAGGAAAGAGGAACTAACGCCACACATACCTCCACTTATTATTTTAGTGAAGCAATTCCTGTCTCTCTAGTGATTTGTTTTCATTTTTTTTTAAGTGCTGTATTGTGAAATGTGATTTTAACGTGTAACTCAACTTTGTTTAGAAATGTAGAGTAGAAAGTATATTTGCTCTTAGATGCTCTTAGATGGAGTAGTAGTCAAAGTAGCCAAAATTAAATCTACTTAAGTACAGTAACAGACAACTTGTACTTTGTTACTTTCCACCACTGCGCAGATGAAGCCAATCATTCCTGTCCTGCAGCACAGCTGCATAAACATTGGATAAACCTCATGTCAAATGATACAGTACAGGGTTTCTATTTCTTCAGTCACCCACTCCGCTTTTTCCTCTTTTATGTTTTGCAAAAAAACCCTAAAAATCATTTGCAAAAGGCAGAGCCCAAGTGGCTCAGTGGGAAATTTTAAAACCAATCAGTGTTGTTCAGCCTTTCGCTTTCACATGAGCAACTTGACAGACTAGTAGGGGCAGGCTCCAATGTACATTACAACCTCTTTTAGCATCACCCACCCACTCACCGCTAGCATGATGCTTCTAGCTGCCATCGGCACAGGGGTTAACATTAAAGCTTTAGCTTATGATGACAGTGACTGTATGTCTGAGGGCGTAACCAGATTTGGGAATGGGGAATCACGCGAGAGCACCGGTTTGTCTGACGGAGAATGCTCTGCATGCCTAACAAAAGACACATCGTGGAAGGGAACGTTTCATGCTGAATGAATGACCTTGAGAACTAGTCTTTGACTCTTCGACCACCTGCTACCCTCACCTCACTGCCAGGCTAGAGAAAAGGGCAGCATCACTTCTCACTCTCTGCCACTTCAGACACTTCCCAACTGATATGTGTTTTTGCCAGAGACTTGATCTGCCTGAAATAACATCAAGGGGAATTGTCTTACTGTGATCTTTTCCAGAAGCATCTCCTTCCTTTATCTATCTTCTTTCTATATCTTTCTACCCTTTCTTTCTCTAATGCCTGCCCACTCTCATCTCTGGCACCATCATTTGATCTTTCCTCCCTTTAGACAGAAACACCCAGAGATTGATAGAAAAGCATCATCAGAGGACGAGGCCTGGGGCTGTAATGCATCACAGAGCATGTCCTGGTGTTAACTGCTATGGAGTTTTAGTGCTTGCTTCCCCTGTTTCCCCCTATACTTGATAAAACAAGTGGCAGCTTTTACAGGAGTAGGTCCACTGGCACGACCTGGGTGGGGAACGGCTGGCTGGGTGCTAGCGCCAACGACACACAGGCGACACTGACTGTTGGTGGGTGTCTCCTTCAGGCCTTGAAGGATGAGGAGGATGCAGAGACAGGGCTGACTGAAATGGAGAAGGAGCCTGAGCCCAAAGAGGACCAGAAACTGGGCAAATTACAGTACTCCCTGGATTACAATTTCACAGAGAATATGGTAAGGATCTGTTCTCCTAATCTGTGTGTGTGTGTCACTGTTGCAAAAGATCCTCCTTTGTAAGTATGGTCACACCCAACCTCTGAGGTGGTCCAACTTTTCATCTCTACAGAGACAAACAGGGCCCAACCCAGGTTTTGCACAACATTTTCCTTTTGTTGCATTACCACCCCTGTAAACACAATTTGGTCACTGATGCTTGAGAGTACTCTCACAGGGATCTCATGGTGGTCGGGTTTGTGCATTTACTATTGAGCTTTGTAAAAGATACACTACACTGTTGGGGCTTCGTTCATCTCTGAATACGTTTCCTTCTTTCTGCTTCATTGAAAACAGCCCCTGTAGATATCCATCTGCTTTATTTTTTCCAGCGACTGAGTTTTAAAAAGCAGAATGAGGAAGCATATCAGCTTCCTGGCACCAGATGTTGTGTGACAGATAATAGACACGGTGTGTGAACAGAGTGCTGGGCTAGCTAACTCCACGTTATAATCAGAACTGACAGCCTGAGATTAGACAGTAACACTAACTGCTGCTATACACACTTGCATAGGTACAACTCGCTTATTTGCCCCCAAAACAGCTTTAATTGGTACAAGAACGCTTTCTTGCTCTTTGCATCAATAGTCACTGGTCAATATTCAATCATTCTTAGTACTTAACCTGTGCCGTATTGATCACTATATAGACTACGGAGTCAGTAATGATGCTCATTCAAAGGTGCAGACATCATCATTGGTGAGCAGTCAATCAGACCCTTATGTCTTTTAGAGAAAAAAAAGTATTATTGAGTCATTTCATGAAAAGGGGATATTATGTGGACAGTATACCTTTCACAGAGTTGATCCGTCATGTAGTTGGGAGGCAGTGACAGGTCTCTGGATGAGGTTCTTGATTACACCGGTAATAGGCTCGACAGTGGAGCTAACGTTTAATGAATGGATGACAGTTTTCATGCTTTATGACAGTGACCTCAGAGAAGCCAGGCTCAGCTCACTGCCTCTCACACCATGCAGCCCTGGACACCTATTCCTCTGACCCACTTTCAGCTCAGTGATGGCCACAGTGGCTTTTAGGAAATGTAATCCTCAGGCTTTGAGGCAGTGAACGCCTAGAACTGCTCAACAAGAACAGGTAAACAGTTGGATATAGGTTCCTTTTGAAAGTAAAGGCGGTGTGTCCTTTTTTCCTAAGTAGCTGGCATTACAGAGAACAAGTGTTACCTAGTTGTGGGGTGATTTTCTTTGACCACCATTAGGGAGTGAAGCTGCTGTTTATCATATTTTCCTTACATTTTGATGAGGTGAAATTTTATTGCTTGAACAGCATGAATTGGTATATAAGTCCCATTCGGCTAAGAAAATGAAGGACACACTAAGTGAATCCCAGTTACCCTAATCACGTCCACATTTCTCTCGCTTGCATCTTTTCCTTGTGTCTTAGTCCTGCCCCTTTAAGATGGAAGGAAAAGATGCAAGGACAATCTGCGAGGAAAGAGGAACCGAGGAAACACGTTTTAACTGACGCCCTTTCCTCCAAACCTTCATGTGAAGCATCCAGTCACAAACAAATTTTCAATAAAGGGGCATGTCAATCCAAAACAGACTTCTGCAAGGGATACACTCATGTATTCACAGTTATAGCTCCTCCAGGCAGCCTCCTCACTCCTCAGAGCAGAAAAAAGAGCTCTGGGATGTCAATCATCATGGCAGACCAGAACATCTTCCACATCAAGTGAGGACTGAGGAATGATAAGGGAATTGGGATTCTCCTGCTAGGGTGTGTGAACAAAGACCAAGTCAAGGTGATCAGGCTGATTGGGAAAATACATCCAGATTAATTTCAGATCCTCATGCTTTTTCTGTCCATTAATTGCTACAAATAGCTATGGCCCCTGGTGATGATGGCACTGGGTTTATACTGGGTGTTGCACAACTTCCAATTACTTAGAGTCAATCTTTTTGTTTAGAAAGTCACATTGACATTGACTAGTCTGTGATGATGTCATCAAACCCCCCAGCTTTAATAGGTTCTCTAGGTCACTGAACCAGTTGAATTGGATGTCCCCCAGCCACCAGCTGGCAGTAGTGAGCAGGCTAATACTTGGCGCACCAGAACGAGGAGAAAAAGAGGTCAGAATACACCAGGACAAGCTTCAGTAGAATGGGTTAAAACATCAAGATTTACTTTTACAAGAGAAAAGGCATTAAAGGTGGTGACTAAGTGGTTGATATTGCATTTGTGCGTGTGGTTTCTTCACCCATCTCAGTTAAGTGTGGCGCACAGCCATGTCCTGACTGTCTCTGGGAGATGTGACCGGTACTTTCTACTGTGCAGATGGTGACCAGGCTACTGTTCCACCAGCTCCCACTGTGACACTCTCATTGCTAATGGCTTTTGGACACTTGGTTTGGTGATAGTTTCATCAGCGAGGACAGACTGCACAGCTAACAGGCAATCAAGCATGACAAGAATGGAATTCCACCTGACTGGGCAGTCGGTTTGGATTTTATTGGCATTTGCAGCCAGCTTTTCCAGGAGTTTCTTCAAGACAGAGGTTGTCAAGTGGCAAAAATGACTGACTACTTGCTGTGCCACATCAATAGCCTTTGCTACATCAGGTAAGGCTGTTGATAAAATCCCATGGTCAGTGACTAGTCAGCGTCATGTTGAAAAGGTCAGTTCTATGTAGTGAAGTCAACTAGTTGACTAGTCGACTAATCTGTACAACCCCAAGTTTATACATTAATGAGACAAAAGGTTGTGTAAAAGATCCAAATCAATCAGGAAGTGATGATGTGCCTTTATCAGATAGATACACAGTAAATGAACCACAAAGAGCACTCTCAGGACAGCAGGAAGGAATTTATGAATTCCTACTTTTAGCACCATTTCTATATTCATTGCTCTTGTCACAGGTCCAGAGCAGGCCTGATGCGTTGTGTCCAATCGGAGTATGTGAATTTCTAAATTGTTAGCAAAACATGTTAAGAATTTCCCCTCTACAGTTCATTTATGAAGTAACACACCAAGATGCTGCGGTAAATAATAGTCAGGAAGAGGATGGTGGAGTCACAGCAGAGCCCAGATGCACTGGGACAAAACCTCCCAAGATAACATGCCAAAGGCTGGATCACCAACTTGACTCTGGTCAGCGTGCTGCTCACTGGACTGAAGAGTAACAGAGAGGTTAATACCAGCAGCTCTCTGCTGTGATAGGGCCAAGTCCTTAGTTAAACAGAGACATCCACACAGATGTGCAAACACACAGCCATGGGTGTTTTTGCTTTTCATGTCGGGCTGTAATGGTCCATTAGTCAGTTGTTTAGAATCTTAGATAGTGGCTATAATTTGTCCCAAAAGCAAAATAAAAATGTTTTGGATTATTCATTTATTATTTAAATCAAATGTCAGGATTTGCAGCTTGTCATGGCAAATGGGCTCTCTTTGGATTTTGGCCTGATAGCTGGACAAACCGAGTTATTTGAAAACATCACCTTTGGCTCTGGAGACTTCTGGTCAGCTTTGGACATTTTTTAAACTAAATGATTCATCCATAAGACCAAAAGTCCAGGGCCATGCTGGCAGCTCTGGAAAGATGCAAGTGGATGTAGCGGTGCCATGAGCTAAATGTGTCAGCAGACATGCGTGATGTCGTGTGTGTCAGCATACTAGCCTGCTCGCAAATGACAGCACTAACGTTATGATGTTAAGTACATATAATTTTTGTATTATTTACCCTGTTCACTATCTTAGTTCAGCACATTAGCATGATAACATATATTAGTTAGTGGTTAATCAGAACAGCTGATACTGATCAGAATATCTCCTTTTGAAGATAGCTGATCAAATTTAATAGGTGACAAATTTATATTCTGACCCAATGATGACACCACATAAAATGGTTAAGAGCTTGACAGTGTTAATGCAGCTCAACCTGGGGGAAATATGAATGTGTTTATGAAATTTCATGACAATCCATCCAATAGTTGTTGAGATATTTCATTAAAAAAGCACACAAAACCATAAAAACCACTGATGTCAAAAGTCGGGGATCACCAGAGTCATTAGGAGTCATCCTCTGGGCAGCATGGAGATATAATGAGATCAATGCCTTAACATTTGTGTTTATGAAGCTCAAGATTTTTCAGTTTTTGGTGCAATGTTTATAAATGTACCAATTTAATATGTTTATTATTGAGGTCATGGTTAAAGGTGGTGTTATACTGGACTACATTATATTTTGAGTTGTCTTTATATTTTTGTCCTCCCCAGCCCCAATATTAGGAACACTTCTGAATATAATGCAGTCCAGTACAACAGCACCTTTAACTATAAACTCAATAATAAAGATATAATTGAATTTATACATTTATGACAGTTTCACTAAAAACTGAGCTTCATAAACACAGATGTTAAAGTGAAAGTGTTGCCTTGAAATACATACAATTGTGCAGGTGTACCTAATAAGGTGACCAGTGAGTTTATAAGCAGTATATAATCTGGCCTAAGTGATGTAACAACAACCAACTGTAGACATGGTATGACATTTTATTAGTAAATGAAGAATCAAAAATGTGATCTTTTGATTAATTGATAATGAAAATGATCAGTAGTTGTAGCTCTGTGCAGAGTAGATGCTGCACATACAAGTACTACCAGTTAAAATGAAATGGTAGCAGCTGGAAAATTACCATATAACACCAAATTACTCAATTATTGTAATTGAAGAGGTCTCTCCTTCCACTTCAGCCAATTTTGAGAAAATGAGAAAATCTAAGTGAATTCTGTAGAAGACTTTCGGTTGGGGACTAAGATGATTTTGAACCAAAGGTGTTCTTAATGAGTTCTGAAAAACTCCTCCTTCCATTTTGATGTGAACATCAGGTGTAGTGTCATACCGCCTTGGGAAAAATACATTTAGCTGATGCAGCAAAATACATATCAACATTTTCGACCCTTTCCTGCTCTTCTCTGCTCTCAAGCATCAGTGCCTCTCCTAGTAAAGATGGTGTGACACGCTGTATCTGCCACAGACTGTGCTGACAAACGGCTAGAAATCAGGACAGCACGCAAGAATAAATTGCTACACTCAAAACCCAAGCGAGGCTTCACAGCAGTACAGTGCAAAACATGGTCACATTTCTCTTCAGGTAAATGACAGCTAGAATAATTGTACATTGTCTGTTTGTCTTCTGAGGTGTGGAATTATTTTGGAGTGAGTAAGCTACAGAAATAATGTTTATGCCAAAGTGATCCACTGAAATCATGACAGGATCACATATCACAGTAGCAGCTGGGTAATGTCAAGGAAAGGCTGTGCATAACCTGGGGTGCAGATGATTCATCTAAGATGTCCTGTACTTTCCACCATGTCTTTGTCATGTATGGTGTTTGTTAGTGTGTTTTTGCATATGTGTGTATATGTGGAACATTCACAGTACACTGACCCTGGGTAATCAACACTACATCATCCCATCATGAACACCTTTTCTTACTAGAATCTAACTACCATTAGGTGCAAGTGTACCTTACAGTACTTCCCTGGGTTGATACTTGTCTGCTCCCAGCTTCTAATTTTATCTTGTGGTTATTAAAAGCTTTCAAATGCATCAATTTAGCCTAGAAGCTAACTCTCTTATTAGCTAGATATCTACATGTTAATGTTTTTCTTCATGTTGAAAGGTCTGCTGGGCTAACTGCCAAACCAAGTTAGTGTGATATGACTACACTGTATGTTGGAGTCAGTCAGTCTGCCCTCTCTCATCTCCAACTGGTACAAAATGCTGCTTCTCGCCTTTTAACAAGCACATCCAGACACGATCATTTCACTGTAGCCAGCATATTTTAGAAAAGATTGTAAACTCCCCAGTGGCCTAGCCCCTATTTATTTCATGGGATTATTACAACTTCCCCGACATGCTGGAGCACTTAGATCATCTGGTCAGAATTCCCCTTTCGAATTCCCAAGATCAAGATGTAAGCGATGGGGTAAACATGCTTTTGCTGACCTTTAAGCTAACGTGCTGTTGGTGAAGCTGTAAAAGTGACTGGGCTTACCTGTCAACAGGTTTAATCTCTGTACAGACTTGTCTGAAGACAACTATATGAAATGGTTAAAGCTCATTAAAAGCTAGTCCATAGACTCTTTGATGCTTAGCTCGACTACATTTGTTTTTATTTATTTTTTTACATTAAGTGCTTTTTCCATTTCAATGTTACTTTGCCCCAACCACAGATTTAACTCAGAGCTTTCAGATCATTTTTTCTTCTGAGAAATGTTAGACTATCTTAAAATTGATTTTCCTTCACATTGTTGGTTATTTGCCTCATGTTTATTACCAACTGGAGGCCACTGTTTCCCACTTTATTTACCAGTGCATCACTGGTAGCTCCACACAGTAAACCCATGCCACTCCTATGGCTGAGTGCCCTGGTCAGCCTCCAGATTGCTGCTTGATGGCTGCCTGATTGGAAGGTGATTGACTGACTAGCAGGGCCTCCTGAGAGGCTGTTGAGCAGAGGCTCTGACTGGCAGGTCAATCAGCTTCCCTGGCACCCCATTGTGTTTATCAATTATCAGCCTTCTGTAAAGAAAAGCAGTCCTCTCATTCCAAGTCTGACACATCCTGACCTTTACCATCTCCTCGGCCACTTTAAGGCTCTGTTGACACAACCTTCTAATATTGGTGACATATCTCATAAAAATGACACTTATTTATCTTTAAGCAAAGGACTGATTCATAGTGATATCAAAAGACAAGAAGTGATTAAAAATCCATTGTTCCTCAAGGGCTTAGAACAATGATTAAGAAATATTTATAGCCATTCCTTTAACAACTACTCATTTCCTTGTAATAATGTTGGTGGGATGGAGATGCGAGCTATGATAATTTGCTGTAGTGAACAGCCTCACCTTCCCTCACCTGCCTGTCCTTCATCTTGCTCTTTTAGCTCATAGTGGGGATCATCCAGGCTGCAGAGCTGCCTGCTATGGACATGGGCGGCACATCTGACCCATATGTCAAGGTCTACCTGCTGCCTGATAAGAAGAAGAAGTTTGAGACCAAGGTGCACAGGAAGACCCTCAATCCTGTCTTCAATGAGCAGTTCACTTTCAAGGTATATTAAAAGTTTAATTTTATTTGCAACCAGCAAATGCTCAAAAACATTTGTGCATGTTTTTGTAGCTGGAGATCGTTTGGTTCCACCGACACTCTGATTTGCATGCCGTCATGAATACTGGAAAGGTGCGGAGACAGCAAGCAGCTGGCACATTAACAAGCTCCTGACAGAATATCTCTCACACACACACACACACACACACACACACACACACACACACAAAACAGTGACAGCACAAAAATATATTTACGAAAAGCTAATTTATGATGAAGTGCTGCAGATATGCACACTGGTGCTCAATGTGATTGGGATTAACACAGGCAGATGCACCGCTACACCCTGGCCTGCCTCAGCCATAATGGATGCATGGCTGTTGCTCAGCAGTGGAGAAAGTTTTCTTATTCATCCGTATGAAGAGCGCAGGTGTAAGTTAAGCATAATGTGATGTGATATAAATCTCAGTACCAGGTTTGTGTGTTTTTGTAATACTTAATTCCAAATCTGTGATACATTTTGGGGGAAAAAGCAGGACAGGCAATTATAACAGCGGTGACACTGTCAAGAATAAACGACAATTCTCTGAGATAATGTCAAGGACAAAGCAATGACTCTAATCACTCCCTTGCTCTCATTTTTGCATTTAGTGCTTTGTTTCCATTTAATAACTTGTCCCAAAATTGAAGGCAATCAAGGATCCCAAGTACTGCCTCCTCTGTCTTTTATCCATGTAGACCTGATAACACCATCTGTCAGGGCAGGGGACTAACAACATCACACAAATCTGACTCGGCTTGACATGTAATTAACTTCAGATTAGATACAAGATGAACTTTTTCTGTTGAGGTCCAGGGATGATCAGATCAAACTGAAGTTTATGAGACTGAAAAACTGAGAATACACAGTTCAGTAGATTGCAGTCTTACACAACAGTAGCACATACCATGGTCCTACAAACACTGAGAAGTTGAGTGTCTCTCAGTCACTAAGATGATTATAGGCTTGACAAAGAGAGTTACTTGCAGCTAATGTTAACTAACCTAAAGAGAAACAGACAAGAAGGAGGATTTTCTACCTCTGCGTGTTTACTCAAACATATTTCATCACTTTTTCTTCTGAAAACGTGCTAACTGGCTGTTGATCTTGACAAGAAGCTCCAGCATTGACATTCTCTTTGGATACATGCATATGGGCCTTTTCTGTGAGACAGCTCTAAACAAACCTGCAGAAATATCACAATGTCTTTAAAACATGCCATTATTTAAATGGTAGAGATCAACACGAGAGGCCCGTGTATTTGGGTAAGCTGCCTATGTTTTGCCTCTTTTTTCTTTCTTGTGTTTTGAACCCTTTCTTATCCTTTGTCACCTTCCTTAGGTCCCCTATGTAGAGCTTGGTGGGAAGACGCTGATAATGACGGTCTATGATTTTGACCGCTTCTCCAAACACGATGCCATCGGTGACATCAAGGTGCCCATGAATAAGGTAGACTTCAGCCACGTAACAGAGGAGTGGCGGGATCTGCAGAGCGCTGAGAAGGAGGAGGTAAGGCTTAGGCAGCATGCAGGCCCACACACCTTGAACACTCCTCATAACCAGGGAAACGAGTAAATTTGAAATCATTTTGTGACACCTGTCTCCTGTCAAATCTGCTCCAAGGGTCAGATTTGGACATTTAGCAGCTGCTTTTACAATAATAAGAACATTTTTATTGCACAAGTGATAGCATAGTGATTATTTTGCCGTGTTCAGCAAGCCATTTGTGGTTGAACCACAACCGTGGTGCCGTAGCTGATGTAATCCAGCAATCTTGGAAATGTCACTTAATCAGATGTCCACACTTCCCCTTCAGTTAATAGAAGTGTGACTTTCCAGGCAACAGTTCAGGAGATTCAATTTTCATGGTAAATGTCATGGCATATAGCACGTGTTGCCATGGGAAACTCACTTATAGCATCAAGGTGGTTTGATTTAAAGGTTAACTATAGCAGTGCTGGCTCATGGTGCTGTTTGAGTTGCAGGGAATCACTATACTCCAATTAGGGTTCAGTCACACAGCTGCACCTAAAGATTTAATGCAAGGCTTGAGACACTGGAGCGATTCTTTGCAGGCTTTAGTGGTTGGGGGCCACTAGCTTCAAATATATACTATATAAAGCAAAGAAAGTTCTAGAATGACTCCGCTTATCAGTCCAAATGCACAAAGAAAAAACAGCTCTGTCAGGAAAAAGTCTTAAAGCAGTGAGCCCAGTGAAAAGGCAGCAGAATGAATCAAATTCAACATGATTCTTCACCTGTACCACCTGTACACTCCTCTTTACTTTTAAGGTCAAGTATGAAGTAGAAAGTGATGACAATGCTCTTTAAATTGAAAAGGCAGTAGTTGGCCTTTCACAGGTGAATATAAAAAATATATTAAAGAGCCCGGTCACTGCTCTCATTAGGCAGAATTACCCATCGCTCACTCTTTCACTGGCCTCCAGGGGAGCATGTGTTTATGCTGATTAAAACTGAACCCTTAGCATCAAACTAAGACTAATTAGTTGTTGATTTTATTGCACAACTACCATTCAGGGTAGTTCATAAATAAAATGAAATGCATGGGATCTTTAATACAAAGCGCACCAGAGATTTTTCCAGCACAGTGTTTCTGCATGAGGAAATGGGCTTTGATTGAAACGAAGGTCGATATTCAGGTCCGTTTGCTTCTGATTTGCAATCTCTGTTCAAAATGGACACGTGTACAGCGGGTGTGACCTGAGTGAGCGTTACTGACTGTGTCTGTTCCCGTGTTGATTAAAGATATGGCAACGATATGAATTCTCCTCTGTTCGGCGTATGCTAATGAGGCTACGTTGTGCTAGTGATTTGTGTCAAACGCTGGATTGATTGTAGTGCTGTTCTGGCAAAGTGAAGAGTGACAAACAAACATGGGAGCCAATTCAAAGCAAAACAAGAGACAAAATCCATAGTAGAAGATTGAAAACATGCAAGAACACTTTGTACTATTGATTAGCTATAACTGAAGCTCAGACTCAGAGATATTAAACATATGGTGGACCTTTTTTTGTACCATGGAAAAGAACTTTAATAGGTTCTTTGAGTATTTCACTTGTACCAGATCTATAAAATCTTTTATTACACTCTGTATATTATAGTACATTTGAGTTTGTGTTAAATAGATGTTGCTGTAACAGTGTAAATATTCTATTGTGACTGCCATTGGTTGTGGTAGTACTAGCTAATATTTTTAGTCTCTTGTATTGTAATTTACTTAAATTGATTGTTAACTAATCATTATATTTATTCAGCAGAAATCTGGAAGTAAATGATTTCACATAATTAACCTGCTGCACCTGAGTTTCCCGGGTTACATGGTGGCACAGCTGAGCAGGGTTTTTGTCATCATTTCTGCTCTCTGCTTGTGCATTTTAAAATTATGAGTCAATTTACACAAAGAGACCACAGACACACAATGACTAGCCCTGTTAACAGCTTCTCCTGAAACCTGAATCACTTTGGAATTTCATGCACTATCTTAGAAAACATTTCTGCATGCAAATTTCTCTCTAAAAATTGGACTCCATCTATCTATTGATTTTTATCATGATTTATAAGTGTTATTACGGTTGTTGTGCTGTAATAAAGCACTTCTTATTATATCTGTCCATGTCATCACACTAATGACATTACAAAAATGCAGGAGACTTTTTGACTATAATAATTTGCAGGTGATTATTAGTTGACATAGTTTTAAAAATCACCACTAGCAGTACTGATATACTGCAGCTTAAATCATCTTTCCAGTGGGATTTCTTCAGAGTGATGCAAAAGGTCAAGTCACACTGATGCAAGGACAGTGTTCAGTGTTTTTTCTTTGATTTCAAATCAGATACTTTTTTCTACTAATGCATCTCATCATTTGTGACAGAAAGCACTGCTACATAAATGTCATTATATTCACTTAATAACATGTGGACTCCTTGTTTCTTATTTCTATACTGACATATTTTTGTTTTACAGTTACACACTAATTACTGAATTATCCATGTAGTTTGTGCATGTTCTGCAAATGGAAAGCAGTGAGCACAAAACTGTATGCACATAAAGCCATTATGAACACCTCTTTCAGTTTGTTATGTACATTCCATACAGACACACTGGTACTAAAAGGTTTCAACATTAAAAACTGTCTTTTTTTTGTGGAGAGGAGAACTAAACATCAGTATACTGGAAAAGGCAAAGCCACTTTTCAGGTTTGTTTAACTGAAGGCTTTCTGATGTGCTTTAGAGGGAATTTGAGCTATTTCCCTCCACATCTAGCTTCTCTGTGAACATCTGCTATGAGCATGTGATGCAGTAAATTTGGATTTGCTGTTAGAACTGTTCTCACCTCTGTGATGTCTCTGACTCTCCCACAGCAAGAGAAGCTGGGTGATATCTGCTTCTCTCTGAGATACGTTCCCACTGCTGGCAAGCTGACCGTGGTCATCCTCGAGGCCAAAAACCTCAAGAAAATGGATGTGGGAGGCTTGTCAGGTGAGGAGGGTGTGCATGACTTTCCCTCTGACAGGGTGTAATTATACGTGCATTACAGCAATCAATTTGCCAACCACCAAAACACATCACTGGTCACAATTACATTTGTCATAGAAAAAAAGAGGACATTGGCAAGGGTTTTCTCCAAAAACAAATTATTAAAGGTGCATTAACTATGATTTTACACATTGATAAATAAAGTTAAAGTGGAACAGGACATACTGTCTCTCAACTATACTCCCCCCTCCATGACAGTGCTGCCTACAGCCCTTCTGTTGTTAGTCCTGCTTTTCTGCCCTCTGTTTTGATAGTCAGTCCAGATGTTAGTGTGTTAAAAGCAGCCAAAGGACTCAAATTTGATTTAGATGTGGGTTCTTCCTTCTACACGCATTAGCATCTAAAGCTGACGTGCTTGTTTTGGTAACATTAGCGACCATTAGCATGGTCATGATTTTGCCTTTGGGTTGAGTTGATATGATTTTAATTTGGGGGAAATTTGAGCTTTGTGTAACATTAGTGCTTTGTTAGCCCAGTTTTGGACTGACATGTGGGGTCACTGAATGGTTTGATGAGAATTAAAAACAAGTCATATGCTGTGGCCTTTACAGTCACCAGGTCTCAACCCAGTTGAACACCTGTGGGAGAAGTTGGAGGGACATGTTAGATAGCGCTTCCAGCACCATCATCAAAACACCACGAGGGAATATCTTTTGGGAAAATGACGTTAATCCCTCCAATAGAGTTCAGAGATTTGGAGAGTCAATGTCAGTGCATAGTTCTAATGGCCCAGCACCTTTATGTTGGGTTTTCCTTACATTTGCCACCCATCTGTATTCCTGTCTGTCAGTCAAAGAAGGACAGATGTTCCCATGGCACTACAAAAGGCCAGTGTGGGTTTGCAGCGTTATTCTTAATTTCCACACAATAGTTTTATTGTTGCACTGTGAAGCAGAAATGAAGAAATCTCTTTTTAAAACTGTATTTCCTGTGGGAGCAAGTCAACTCAGCAGCATGGGCAAAGGTGCATAGCAGAGCCAGCTGTGTGCATATTCCAGTTTTAAATCTAACCATACATTTATAATATGAGCACAGAAAGGCAGACATCCGACACTACAGTTCGTCTCTGACTCGGTTTTAGGAACCAAAGACTGCTGAACGGTATAATTTGTCTTCCCTCAAAATCCTATTATTGATAATCATCAGAAGATTTATCAGACAAACAAAACACAGTTTTCAGCCCAAGTATTTGTTGCCTCTTTCTGGACATTACATTAGACATGGTCAGATCTTTGCATTGAGAGGCATGTCTGTCAACACTCAATGTTCATATTCGCCTCCTTTTACTCTTGTCAAGTGTTTCAGTGATAAAAAAGCTAAAGCTGCACCTTTACATCTTTGATCTCACTAGGCCTCAACGTTGACATGGTAGAGTCTGAAGCAGATTTTAACCAAAACTTTATTAAATCCATTCTGCACACTCATTATAAGAATGACTTGGAGTTTGCCCTTTGGCAATCAGTGGAATATTGATCAATTATACAATACATTATGTAAACAAAATCGCACTGAATTCATTATTCTGGAGCTAGGCAGTATTGACCGGCCAGTATCCAACTTTCATCTTACCAGACACACAGAGCCCTGCATGCACACACTGAAGACACAAATACAGAATCACACAATAAGCTGCCCCCTCTCTCCCTCCCCCCGCCTCTCCTTTGACTTTCTTCAGCAGTTTCATTTTAAATTCCCCAGTGTGCACTTCCCTCCCACCCCGACTCTTTCTGCTACAATTACCATACACCTGGGTCCACTTGCTTTCTGCCTGACAGCCCAGTCTCTCCATATCAGCCTAAACATTCTGCAGTACAGTAACACAGCACACATTAAAAGCTCCCTTTCAGACCAGTGCGAGCAGCCATTTGTCAGAAAAAAACCCTCCCTCGCTGCCAATTTATGCTACTAGCATTAGCTCTCACCTGTGTCCATTTGCATTGTGGTATAGTCAACATTTTGAGTTGTCAGCCACATTCACTAGCCAGTGTGAAAAAAGTGTGAATTTGTTCTCTTTGAAGGCCAGGTTTCTCTCTCATAGAGAAGAGAAAGTAGGGAAGCCAGACAGTCTGACACCTCGAACTGTATGTTACATTTAATTGAAGCATGTTTTATCTGTCTGCACTCGTGGTGAATTATTAGCATACAGTAATAGCACAGTGCAGGTTTCTAATTACACACAACCAGAATATACCCTGAACCCTGAGTTTCGATTTGTGTTGGTTGCTTCTCTGGTCTGAGAATGAATTTGAAGCTGTAGCAGTTGGATGAAATAAGGGGCAGGTCTTTAATAACAATAATTAGCCTACATTCGCAGGGCGGCTCAGGCAAAGCTTAAGGAGGAGGACAAGTAATTGATGGCCTGGGATCAGCCTTCTCCTCTATTGTCATCCTGTTTACCATGCCTAATTATGGCTCACAGAGGAAGATGTGGGTATTATCGTTAACCAATGTATAATCAGAAATAATTCTTTTGATTTGCTCCTCATGAAACATTCTTTGAAACCCACTTCGATGATGAGTTTCGTACGAAAACAGACTTTTGAGAAGTAGCTTTGAAAGCTGACGTTTGGTGCTCCTCAGGATTGTTGCTACTTAACTGCAGTGACACACCAGGCACCATGCTCTTTAGCTGTCGTCTCAAAATAATCCCAGCCTCATTACAGACAAGTCACTCCTCTCTCCACTTTAGCCCGCTCCACGGCAATGTATAGTTACAATGCAGATTCATTATGTTGAGTTGCAGGCAATCAAACTTCAAAGAATTTTGAAACTCCAGTGGGTGGTGCATGTTATAGTCTGGTAAAACAGCCTAAAGACTAGAAAGTAAGTTTTTAATGACAGTAATTGCAGCAGCGTGGAAAGTCATCACTGAGTGAAAAACTCTTTCAACCTCCTACAGATAACGTCTTATGTTGTGCAGTGAGGTAGAAAACATTTCACTTATTGTCTGTTTATAACAGTGCATTTTAAAGTATTTCAAGCTACCACAGCGTATCCCTGCACCATCAAAGGTGAGTTAGACTCCAATGTGTGTCGGACACAAAGGCTAAGTGTCTCAGAATGAGGACATGTGGGCTTATAGAGGCAGTGGTAGCAAAAGTGTTTTGTCCCACCGCCTTTTGTACCTCAGAAGATTTCCTGGAGGGCTGTGAGGCAGCACATAACCAGGTAATGGCCCACTGTGGGGGAAGTTGTCAAAGCACACAGGCGCTATGTCGGCAGTAATGAAGCCGCACTGGCTGACCCGGTGCTCCAGCTCACTATCAAGCCTCTTGGCTGGAGAGTTTATTTGTCTTGTTCCTCTGGCTGGTCAGACTGAGAGGTTTTTCCCCTTTCAGTGAGGCAACAGGCCAAAGGGATCATTACGCTGATGAACTGGCTCTGAGACAATAAAGCAGTTTGAAAGTGATAAGGGAATGCACAATTTATTTTGTCAGAATTTTGCTTTATTATATAGAACTTCAAAGGTGTAGATAATAAATAAGCAGATGAGTTACAGGGAGATTTTGAATCTTTTTTTTAATAATAAAAATTCTCATTGTGCAATACAGTATCACAGAGATCAGACTTTGTGGAGGCGGTTTATGTTGGTGTGTGCTTTAGAGAAGAGTTTCACTGTAAACTTGTGTGTTTGCGTGGTATGTGTGTGATTCACCGCTGAGCTGAGTGTGTAAAACTAAACCGACAGTCACCCCTGGCTGCACCCACCATTGTAAATCCAAAATGATGGGAGGAAAGCTTAGATGACAGCGAGGCTATATTTAATCCTGCTGGTGTTCATTATGTCAGCACGTGCAGTAGCCAGAGAATATGGAAATATCCATCCATCCAAGATCTATACTGCTTTTCTTCCCGAGGGTCACAGGGAGGATGGAGCCAATCCCAGCTGACACTGGGGGAGAGGCAGATCGCCAGCCTATCACAGGGCTGACACTTACAACCACACTCACTCCTCTGGACAATTTAGAGTCTCCAGTCAACATAAGCTGCATGTCATTGGACTGTGGGAGGAAGCCGGAGTACACAGAGGGAACCCACACAGGGTCAGGGAGAACATGCAGACTCCACACAGAACAGCCCCGGGTCGGCCGGGACTAATATGGATTTATTTGAGGAAGAAACAAATTCTGTGTTCAGTGTTGCACATTTGTGCATGTAATGAAGTACTGTCGCTTCAGCTGTGACAGGCTCACCAAAATAATCCAAATGACTCACAGCTGACAATCGCTCAGATCTTGAAACACAACCTATAAGTAGCCACTTTAACCACAGACGGATTTAGTAGCGCTACTTAACTCTCTAGCTGATTTCTCTTAGAGCTCATCACTTATCCAGAAAGCCGCTTCTAATCTTCTGGAGAAATGTATGGAGCGCTGACAGTGCATCACCTCATAAAACCATGGCTAAGATCCAGGACTCAGATGAGTAACCCTCAGCACAAGACAAGCCTCTGTGCTGTACACATATGAGGAAGTGCTCTTGCTGCCATTCATCTATAAAATAAGAGCAATTACATCCGTCTGGGATGAGACGGTAAAATGGGGCCGGATATGAGGTACAGCAAGCCTGCCAAAACTCAATAATGCCAAACTCTCATCTGCTGGCCAGAAAGATAAGGGCGTCTGGATGGCAGTGATGTGGCGCCACAGGTGGTTTTTTTTTCAGCCTGAGAAAGGGTTATCTTGTTTAGTCCCATTCATCTGTTACATTGTGTTTATTCAGTATAAGAAGATACATGAGATGTACCGACGTGTTGTAGCAGTCACTGCCTAGTTGTATGCAATGGAGGATATCATGAAAACCTCTCTTCAGAGGGTGTTGGGCTTTTTTTGTTTTGTCTTTTTTAAAACAAAATCCAAAAAGCAAACATAAAAGGTGATGATAATTTACATTTTAGATATTTTTATTTGTCTTTTTTAACCTAATTTTTAAACGTAAATCTCTAGGATTCCTCAGCTTTTGCTCTTGACGTTCTTTACCCTCTGTGAGTTTGATGTGACAGGTAAAAGAGATTAGTTTGGCGTCAGTATAGGCTGTGGGAGATTGTGCAGAAACCCAACAGAACTATAAGTTTAGTCGACCAAATTTCTATAATGAAAGCAGTGTATAAAGTGTTCATACCGCTGTGAAAAACTTGCTTCTTTATTTAGATACTATTGCGTGTATTCATTTCTACACAGAGTGACAACACAATCCTCATTCACTGTTTCTATCATCCCAGCATTCGGCTGTTCTCAGCAGGAGAGTAATAATGGACACTCACTCCATTAGGAGCCTGCTACTGTTTCACTCATGTCCCTGTCATCTGTTTATTTTTGCTGCTTTTCCCCCTCTTATTCTGTTTGTGTGATTTACTCTATATTTTGTCCTCAGCGACTGTACCAATCCACAATCAGTTCAAGACAAGATTTTTATTTGCCATTTATGCATAAACAGACAGTCTAGACATATAGGAATTCTTGTGCAGCTCTCCTTTGGAGTCAGGTAAGGAGTCAAAAGCCAGAAAGAACACTTAAAATAAAGTCTTAAAATCAGGTCCTTATCTGCCTAAACTGAATAAAAGATTAAGGGAGAAACATTCATTCAGCATTTGCTGTTGTGAGAAATCCTGCAATGTTCCAGTTAAAAACAGATTTTTTTAAGAGCAGCCCACACATCAAAAAACAAGAAGCATAATAAAGACTTTGTGTATATGGGTTCCCAATTATTCATGCCAATGCACAGCTCTGAGGTTCAGTAGTTAGGTATTGTTAGCCTCAGACAAGGGACTACCTCATTAGCATCTCTCAGATTCTTGTGGTTATTTGCTTTTGTCTTTGTCAAGCAGCATGTTGTCTTAAATGATAAATTACACAAAGTGGTTTTCAGTCATTTTTTTCTCTGTAGCTTGAACAAAGTTGAATCAGAGATCATTAAGTGTGATTATGCACTGTTCGCATTTGGAACCACAATTTTGAACAATATGGTCGACATTTTTTTCCACACTGCAAACTACACCCTGGGTTTATGTGTTCATTTGTTTTATTTATATTAATTCATTTATAACGCAATAACCATTTAGCTGGTCCCCCCAAATTTTTTGTTTTACATGTTGATTGGTGAGGCCATATTTACTAACGTGATGACAAAAAAATGAGCTAGTGCTGCTGACTTTAAGACTCTAAAACTAGTATTTCCAGTGTATCCTTATACATACAGTGGTGTGAAAAAGTATTTGCCCCCTTACTGATTTCTTATCTTTTTGCATGTTTGTCATACTGTAATGTTTCAGATCATCAAACAAATTTAAATATTAGTCAAAGATAACACAAGTAAACACATCATGCAGTTTTTAAATGAAGGTTTTTATTATTAAGGGAAAACAAAATCCAAAACTACAAAGCCCTGTGTGAATAAGTGTTTGCCCCCTAAACCTAATAACTGGTTGGGCCACCCTTAGCAGCAACAACTGCAATCAAGCGTTTTCGATAACTTGCCATGAGTCTTCCACAGCGCTGTGGAGGAATTTTGGCCCACTCATCTTGGCAGAATTGTTGTAAGTCAGCCACATTGGAAGGTTTTCGGGCATGAACTGCCTTTTTAAGGTCATGCCACAGCATCTCAATTGGATTCAGGTCAGGACTTTGACTAGGCCACTCCAAAGTCTTCATGTTGTTTTTCTTCAGCCATTCAGAAGTGGACTTGCTGATGTGCTTTGGATCATTGTCCTGCTGCAGAACCCAAGTTCGCTTCAGCTTGAGGGCACAAACGGATGGCCGGACATTCTCCTTCAGGATATTTTGGTACACAGCAGAATTCATGGTTCCATTTATCACAGCAAGCCTTCCAGGGCCTGAAGCAGCAAAACAGCCCCAGACCATCACACTACCACCACCATATTTTACTGTTGGTATGATGTTCTTTTTCTGAAATGCGGTGTTACATATACGCCACACATAATGGGACACACACCTTCCAAAAAGTTCAACTTGTGTCTCTTCTGTCCACAGACTATTATCCCAAAAGTCTTGGGGATCATCAAGATGTTTTCTGGCAAAACTGAGACGAGCCTTTATGTTCTTTTTGCTCAGCAGTGGTTTTCGTCTTGGAACTCTGCCATGCAAACCATTTTTGCCCAGTCTCTTTCTTATGGTGGAGTCATGAACACTCACCTTAACTGAGGCAAGTGAGGCCTGCAGTTCTTTGGATGTTGTTGTGGGGTCTTTTGTGACCTCTTGGATGAGTTGTCGCTGCGCTCTTGGGGTAATTTTGGTCGGCCGGCCACTCCTGGGAAGGTTCTCCACTGTTCCATGTTTTCGCCATTTGTGGATAATGGCTCTCACTGTGGTTCGCTGCAGTCCCAAAGCTTTAGAAATGGCTTTATAACCTTTTCCAAACTGATAGAGCTCAATTATTCTCTTTCTCATTTGGTTTTGAATTTCTTTGGATCTCGGCATGATGTCTAGCTTTTGAGGATCTTTTGGTCTACTTCACTTTGTCAGGCAGGTCCTATTTAAGTGATTTCTTGATTGCGAACAGGTGTGGCAGTAATCAGGCCTGGGTGTGGCTAGAGAAATTGAACTCAGGTGCGATAAACCAGTGTTTTGACAGGGGGGCAAACACTTGTTCACACAGGGCTATATCATCACTGCCGGTGGTTAGCGCTGTGGCCTCACAGCAAGAAGGTTCCGGGTTTGTCACCGTTCTGTGCGGAGTTTGCGTGTTCTACCCGTGCTTGCTTGGGTTTACTCCGGCTTCTTCCCGCAGTCCAAAGACATGCTGCTTAGGTTGAATGGAGACTCTAAATTGCCCACATTAGTGAATATATACAGTATAGTTGCCCTGAAAAATGCTGAGTTTTAAGATTACTGTCAACTAGAAAACAATGGACATGTAACATATTGTGCTGTAACTACCCAATACTGAATTAAAACTTGCTCATGATAAGTAAAATTTACATTTGGCTTCTATTGTTTGGTCCAGTCACTGGACACAGATGACAAATGAAACACAAATGAGTGAGGCATACATCTTGGTCACATGATTTTCTGACTTTCTGAAGCACCGGTCAACTGCAGCTATGGATTCTATTTAATGAAAATTAAGGGAATGAATAAGAAGAGTACATATTCTTTGAATCACAGTAATTATTGAATCCTCTTTCATCTTTTGGATCCTCTGTGTCCCACAGTTGAAGCTATTACACTTTCCAAATGCCCGTATGTTGGACACATTAGGATCTCTTTTCAAATTGACAGCCTCACCTAGTCTCTTTAATGGACCAATTAAAGCTAAAAACTATTTATTTCATGATTTGAAAAGGCAGTTGCTTTGTGCCCACTTATCTCTCAAAGCCCAAGACACAAACTCTCCTCTCATCCAATTTAACTTTGATGACAATTTGGAGAACATAAACAAATCAGAGGATGTAGTGTCACGTCATAAACGAAAGCAATGGGTGGTTTTCTGTTCAGACACACACTCTACCTGATTACCAGAGAATGGATGAGGAATGATGGAGTGGAGCACTTGGGTACCGCTCGAGATGGCATTCGGACAGATGAAAATGAGGCTCTTGAATGGAGAAGAGTGACTGAATGATGTAAACACACAGGACTCTCATGGCCTTGCTTTATAATCACTGCCAACCACTTGCTTTGTTGGTTTTAATCAGTGATCTTATAGCTTTGAAGGTTTCTTTATAGCTGCTTTAGTTCATATTTTTGGTGCAGTGGTTGGCACTGTTGCCTCACAGCCAGGAGGTTCTGGGTTCGAACCTTCAGTGTGGAGTCTACCAGCTCTGTGATAGACGGGCAGCTTGTCCAGGGTTTACCCACCTCTCACCTGGTGTCGGCTTGGATTTGCTCCAGCCCTCACATAGATGGATGGATGGATCAAATGACTAGATGTTTGTAAAAGCATGGCTTGTAGTGACAAGCCCACAGAGATTTATCACCCGACTGCAGTTCTCTCAGCTCCTTGGCGCATTTGAGCATCTTTCAGTTTTGGTTTAACGGCCTGAAACGTTGCTTCTTTTGGCTCTTGCTTTCATCAGGCAGCAAAAAGATCTGATAAACCCAGTGTCTGCTACCTGCCCAGCACCAAATAAGAAATAACAGAACTAGTGGCTGGTGAAGATAGCGGAGCAATTAGTGGCTAAAGAGGTCGATACTTTTCTCAGGAACAGTGGAGAAACATGACTCCACATTAATACTCTCCGTCTGCTGGATGTGCAAATAGGTGGTTGTTTGCTAACATGTTCACCATATCAATTGTATAATGTGTTAGTATGTTTGTATGCTGCCCTCAAGGACAGGCCATCAGAGAAAAATACAAAACAATATCTTTACATGTTTATTATCTAAGAAGTGTAAAAACCATTTTTTTTGCAGATCCATATGCGAAGATCCACCTGATGCAAAACGGCAAGAGGCTGAAGAAGAAGAAGACGACAATCAAGAAGAACACCCTCAACCCTTACTACAATGAGTCCTTTAGCTTTGAGGTCCCCTTTGAACAAATCCAGGTACATTTTTGTCCATTCACAGAACATCCCCTAAACTAGAACATAACACTAATTACTGGTATGTATCTTGGTGCTGTTTGTCTTACAGTGATTCCCATGCACCTCATGATTTAGGTGAAACAGTATGTGATGCTTTTTCTGTAATTCAAAGCAAAGAAGTTGAGTATGAATCTTTATCTAGAACATTATGAAGGAAGGGATAACTAATACAAAAACAGTGCCAGAAAGGAATAGCAGTGAACAATAACATCTCTTCAGGCAAGGCAGCAATTGAGTCAAGTTGATTAAGACTCTCGCAGCTCACAACGCACAGATTTGAATCCAGGATTCAACAGTTTCAAGTTTCAACCATGTTGATCCTAGTCAACCCTGTCCAAATTAAGCTCTTATTTAGTTCTGTATGTTGATCATTAAATAATTACAGTATTAGTGCCACTGATTGAATCAGAAACTTCTCATCGATTAGGTGTATTGAGCTTTCTTCTGAAAGCAGTAAGAACATTATGCAAGTTAAAATCATACTTAAAGGACCTAATGTGACTGTAACCAATCATTATCATCTATGCTCCTTAAAGACAATGGAGTAATGTTAAATTAATGGGCTGTTTAAACATCCTCATCATTACTGACAGCCCTTTAGGCCTCTGGCGTCAGATTTTAAATAGACACTTAAAGCTGTGATGATTTTTACTCACAGATTACACCCACAGAATTACCTCAGCCTGGTGTTTTAGTGGACATCATTTGTTAATCGACTTCTCAGGCACATTTATTCCATCCTGTTAATATTTCTAAGAAATTATTCAGACTGCTTGTAGAAAGCTGCAGATTTACCAGTGTTATCAGCACAGACGGAGTTAAACCTGACCTTGGGACTGTTTGTGTAATTAATCTAAAGGTTTTTAATTGTCTCAGAGATTCAGCTGGAATTACAAACAGTGCTTTTAATTGGTTTTTCTCATGACACTAACAGAAGATTTGTTATTAACTGAGGTTGTTCCATACAATCAGCTGTGAAGCACACAGTGGCAACACATTTAGATTTGTTTTTGTTTTATCTATGGGCTCTTACATGCTCATCTATTTTAACGTAATGGCACAAATAACCTCTCTCCTGTTTTTTGAGTAGCTCATTACTTTGTCATTTTATAGAAAAAACATGGAAATACTTTAAATAATATATTAAACATTAAACAAAAACAAGAATTAAAAGACAAAAAATAAAATTGATTTTAAAGCAAATTCAATAAAAAGTGAACTATAAATAAGATGGAGTTCAAGATTAAAGTGCAAGGTGGATAATGATCAGAGTTCAAGATTCAGGTCAACATAAAACGACATAGACATAGATCTAACCAGATAAAGTCTTACCTTCACTACAAAAATCACATCCATACATTTGGAAAATCTGTTTCTTTGCTTTCTTTCTGAGAATGACATGAGAATATTGATACAAGCTCCATGTCTGCATTAAGGATGGAGCTGGAGTCGGGGGTTGACCACAGCTGGGTGAATGTGCAGGAGTCTTTTCATAACAGGTTTTGTTCTTTGTTTACTCGGGCCACAATCAGAGATGCTGATTGGTGGGGGGGGGGAATTAATCATAATATTTCCCAAAAAAAATTGCCTATTGTGTTGTCCTACCCCTGAAGTGAATAATTCTATTGTTGACGAATTACTGGTAAATCAATTACACCAAGG